TAGACGTAATAGTCTTAAGTTGTCTGAATTTCTTAGATGAAGCATTGGCAATTATTATTCATTTTTGACTAGTATTTCTTTCATCTTATTTCTATTGCTTTACACTTAATAGTAATAGACGTAATAGTCTTAAGTTGTCTGAATTTCTTAGATGAAGCATTGGCAATTATTATTCATTTTTGACTAGTATTTCTTTCATCTTATTTCTATTGCTTTACACTTAATAGTAATAGACGTAATAGTCTTAAGTTGTCTGAATTTCTTAGATGAAGCATTGGCAATTATTATTCATTTTTGACTAGTATTTCTTTCATCTTATTTCTATTGCTTTTACACTTAATAGTAATAGACGTAATAGTCTTAAGTTGTCTGAATTTCTTTGATGAAGCATTGGCAATTATTATTCATTTTTTGACTAGTATTTCTTTCATCTTATTTCTATTGCTTTACACTTAATAGTAATAGACGTAATAGTCTTAAGTTGTCTGAATTTCTTTGATGAAGCATTGGCAATTATTATTCTTTTTTGACTAGTATTTCTTTCATCTTATTTCTATTGCTTTACACTTAATAGTAATAGACGTAATAGTCTTAAGTTGTCTGAATTTCTTTGATGAAGCATTGGCAATTATTATTCATTTTTGACTAGTATTTCTTTCATCTTATTTCTATTGCTTTACACTTAATAGTAATAGACGTAATAGTCTTAAGTTGTCTGAATATCTTAGGTGAAGCATTGGCAATTATTATTCATTTTTGACTAGTATTTTTTTCATCTTATTTCTATTGCTTTACACTTAATAGTAATAGACGTAATAGTCTTAAGTTGTCTGAATTTCTTTGATGAAGCATTGGCAATTATTATTCATTTTTGACTAGTATTTCTTTCATCTTATTTCTATTGCTTTTACACTTAATAGTAATAGACGTAATAGTCTTAAGTTGTCTGAATTTCTTTGATGAAGCATTGGCAATTATTATTCATTTTTGACTAGTATTTCTTTCATCTTATTTCTATTGCTTTACACTTAATAGTAATAGACGTAATAGTCTTAAGTTGTCTGAATTTCTTTGATGAAGCATTGGCAATTATTATTCATTTTTGACTAGTATTTCTTTCATCTTATTTCTATTGCTTTACACTTAATAGTAATAGACGTAATAGTCTTAAGTTGTCTGAATTTCTTTGATGAAGCATTGGCAATTATTATTCATTTTTGACTAGTATTTCTTTCATCTTATTTCTATTGCTTTACACTTAATAGTAATAGACGTAATAGTCTTAAGTTGTCTGAATTTCTTAGATGAAGCATTGGCAATTATTATTCATTTTTGACTAGTATTTCTTTCATCTTATTTCTATTGCTTTACACTTAATAGTAATAGACATAATAGTCTTAAGTTGTCTGAATTTCTTTGATGAAGCATTGGCAATTATTATTCATTTTTGACTAGTATTTCTTTCATCTTATTTCTATTGCTTTACACTTAATAGTAATAGACGTAATAGTCTTAAGTTGTCTGAATTTCTTTGATGAAGCATTGGCAATTATTATTCATTTTTGACTAGTATTTCTTTCATCTTATTTCTATTGCTTTACACTTAATAGTAATAGACGTAATAGTCTTAAGTTGTCTGAATTTCTTAGATGAAGCATTGGCAATTATTATTCATTTTTGACTAGTATTTCTTTCATCTTATTTCTATTGCTTTACACTTAATAGTAATAGACGTAATAGTCTTAAGTTGTCTGAATTTCTTTGATGAAGCATTGGCAATTATTATTCATTTTTGACTAGTATTTCTTTCATCTTATTTCTATTGCAATTATTATTCTTTACTTTCATCTTATTTTAATAGTAATAGACGTAATAGTCTTAAGTTGTCTGAATTTCTTTGATGAAGCATTGGCAATTATTATTCATTTTGACTAGTATTTCTTTCATCTTATTTCTATTGCTTTACACTTAATAGTAATAGACGTAATAGTCTTAAGTTGTCTGAATTTCTTTGATGAAGCATTGGCAATTATTATTCATTTTTGACTAGTATTTCTTTCATCTTATTTCTATTGCTTTACACTTAATAGTAATAGACGTAATAGTCTTAAGTTGTCTGAATTTCTTTGATGAAAGCATTGGCAATTATTATTCATTTTTGACTAGTATTTCTTTCATCTTATTTCTATTGTTTTTTACACTTAATAGTAATAGACGTAATAGTCTTAAGTTGTCTGAATTTCTTTGATGAAGCATTGGCAATTATTATTCATTTTTGACTAGTATTTCTTTCATCTTATTTCTATTGCTTTACACTTAATAGTAATAGACGTAATAGTCTTAAGGTGTCTGAATTTCTTTGATGAAACATTGGCAATTATTATTCATTTTTGACTAGTATTTCTTTCATCTTATTTCTATTGCTTTTACATTAATAGTAATAGACGTAATAGTCTTAAGTTGTCTGAATTTCTTTGATGAAGCATTGGCAATTATTATTCATTTTTGACTAGTATTTCTTTCATCTTATTTCTATTGCTTTACACTTAATAGTAATAGACGTAATAGTCTTAAGGTGTCTGAATTTCTTTGATGAAACATTGGCAATTATTATTCATTTTTGACTAGTATTTCTTTCATCTTATTTCTATTGCTTTACACTTAATAGTAATAGACGTAATAGTCTTAAGTTGTCTGAATTTCTTTGATGAAGCATTGGCAATTATTATTCATTTTGACTAGTATTTCTTTCATCTTATTTCTATTGCTTTTACACTTAATAGTAATAGACGTAATAGTCTTAAGTTGTCTGAATTTCTTTGATGAAGCATTGGCAATTATTATTCATTTTTGACTAGTATTTCTTTCATCTTATTTCTATTGCTTTACACTTAATAGTAATAGACGTAATAGTCTTAAGTTGTCTGAATTTCTTTGATGATGGCAATTATTATTCATTTTTGGCAATTATTATTCATTTTTTTTAGTATTTCTAGTTGTAATAGTCAGTTGTCTGATCTTATTTCAATTATTATTCATTTTTTGCTTTTTCATCTTATTTCTCTTTTTTTTAATAGTAATAGACGTAATAGTCTTAAGTTGTCTGAATTTCTTTGATGAAAGCAATTATTATTCATTTTTTGCAATTATTATTCATTTTTGACACTTAGTATTTCTGAATTTCTTTTCATCTTATTTTCTATTTCTTTTACATTTTTTACATTTTAATAGTAATAGACGTAATAGTCTTAAGTTGTCTGAATTTCTTAGGATGAAGCATTTATTATTCATTTTTTATTATTCATTTTTGACTAATATTTCTTAAGTTTCATCTTAATTATTATTGTTTTCATTTTTACACTTAATAATAATACGTCATGTCTTAAGTTGTCTGAATTTCTCGAAGCATTGGCAATTATTATTCTTAAATTCCTTTGTCTGAGTTTAAATAGGTTGTTTAAATTTCTTTAATCACTTCGTTATTAATCTCAAATTTTTTTATACATTAGTTATGGAAAAATCATGATGTAGCTTTTGGTAAAATTTGTTCGTATTGTTACGAGATCCGATGTGTCCAATAAGCATTAAAAATTTATCAAAATCTTTTTTCTTTAAATTTGAGGAAAATAAGCTAAAATTATGTTGATGGGAAGTTCCTTTTAACCCTTTTGCTGCTCCATTTTTACATTTAAATTATACGCCATAGAAAAAAGCACCGGCCTTATTATTTAATAAAGGTTATTTTCTTTAAGGGCAGAAGCATTCGTTAGCAGTGTTTAAAAAACGTTTATTCGATGGTTTCTGACCATTATGGCGTCTCCTCGTCTTTCTTAATTTCAATGCATTTCTATAGTAAAATTATACACGGTTCTTTGACATTTACCTGTATGCCGCCTACATTTTCTTCAATTCTAATTGGTAATAATTCGATGCTGAAAATAACAGGACAATTTCTCGCATTCCACCATAGTAAATTTGTTCCTACACTTTGTTCCAAGCTTTTCCAATCGCTGATTGGTCAATTTTTCCATCGGATATTTTTATTATTCAAAAATAAAACAGAGCCTAAGCAAAAAAACTTGACAAAATGTCTATTTCATCCTACGCATCCGGAGTACATACAAAAAACTTTATTTTGAACTACCAGTTCTCTGTGGAAAACTAAGTTGAAATCAATCATAAAGTTGCAACAACGGTCACTGAAAATTCTATTAACACTGAACCTGAACATTTTTAAAATACTTATAATTTAATTTATTAACTATAATTTTATACCAGAAAGGAAAAGTTTGGCATGAGGTTTTATTTAAAATTCGACAGGGGCACAACATTATCTTTTAACCCATTCTACTAGTGTCTTGAGCAAAATTGCCCAACAAATCGCGTTCAACTGATTTCACAATTTTGGAACTCTTTTTGGTACGGAAGACAAGAATAATTAGAACTCACTACTTGTATTCTGTTTAATTTTCAGGTTCTATCAAAATCAGTTGTTTGGTATAGTAGATTTTTCCTTTAACCAACCTCAGCTGGGTGTTACTGGAGTCAGGACACCTGATTTAACGATGGCCATTGATTCAAATTCTTAAACGTTAGGAGATATATTTCTTTCAATTTTTTTTTCAATCGCAATGTATAATAATTATTGGCAATAATAACTGCCGACAACCATTGCAATGTGTTTTTGTTAAGATATTCTTCCATCTTATTTCCCCAAAAGTCTTAAAGACTATTAAATAAAGCAATTATTATTCACTTATTATAAAATGACCAACGGGGTAAAAGAATAATATTTTTAAGCGTTTCTAAACTTGTCTAATAGACGTAATAGTCTTAAGTTGTCTGTTTTCTTTGATTCTTCATTCATTTTGACTAGTATTTCTTTCATCTTATTTTTTCTTAATAGTAAAAAACTTTTCTTTTTTCATTTTTTCCTCTATTTCTTTGCTTTATTTAGTAATCCATTCATAGTGAGAGAGATTTCTGTGATCATAATTCAATTAAAAGACTGGATGACGGACAAAATGGGAGACACGATGACAAAAGGATTGGGACAGATAAAACATACTTGCATAAGATAGATAGATAGATAGATAGATAGATAGATAATGAACTGGTGATGAGAGATAGATAGATAGATAGATATTCCTAGACCTAGATAGATAGATAGATTTAGATAGATAGATAGATTTTTTATACACAAAACAGAGCCCTATAAAACTGAGATAGATAAACAAAAGATAGATAGATAGATAGATAGATTTAGATAGATAGATAGATAAAATTGGACAGATTTTGCTACTAGCGATGAGATAGATTTACTCTTGTGGTAGATTCGGCCTTCAGGTTCTTCAAAGATAGATAGATAACCAAGATAGATAGATAGATAGATAGATCGCAATGTATATAATAGCAAACTGAGATAGATATTAAAGATAGATAGATAGACCAACGGGGAAAAAGAATAATAGTGAACAGACTGAGATAGATAGATGAGATAGATAGATAGATAGATATGATACAAAATAGATAGATAGATAGACAAAGGGATATTAGATACAAACTGAGATAGATAGATAGATAGATAGATAGATAGATAGATAGATGAATGAATGAGATGAGATAGATAGAGATAGATAGATAGATAGATAGATAGATAGATAGATAGATGATATTAGCAAACTGAGATAGATAGATAGATAGATAGATAGATAGATAGATAATGAACAGACTGAGATATAGATAGATAGATAGATAGATAGATAGATAGCAAATAGATAGATAGATAATGAACAGACTGAGATAGATAGATAGATAGATAGATAGATAGATAGATAGATAGATAGATAGATATATTAGCAAACTGAGATAGATAGATAGATAGATAGATAATGAACAGACTGAGATAGATAGATAGATAGATAGATAGATAGATAGATAGATAGATAGATAGATAGATATTAGCAAACTGAGATAGATAGATAGATAGATAGATAGATAGATAGATAGATAGATGACATAGATGAGATAGATAGATAGATAGATAGATAGATAGATAGATAGATAGATAGATAGATAGATATTAGCAAACTGAGATAGATAGATAGAATAGATAGATAGATAGATAGATAGATAATGAACAGACTGAGATAGATAGATAGATAGATAGATAGATAGATAGATAGATAGATAGATAGATATTAGCAAACTAAGAGATAGATAGATAGATAGATAGATAGATAGATAGATAGATAGATAGATAGATAGATAGATAGATAATGAACAGACTGAGATAGATAGATAGATAGATAGATAGATAGATAGATAGATAGATAGATAGATAGATAGATAAATGAGATAAATAGAGAGATTTCTCTAGCTTTCTTATCCCCCCATTTCTTTCGCTTCAAAAAGCCAACAAATATTAAATAAAGGCTTCTTCACCAACCTTAAATGACCAAAGGAGTAATGAAATTAAAAAGACAAAGCTTTCTGTTTATTTTTATTTTGCTTCCATCCTTTTCCCTGCTTTCATTTCTCACTTACCCGATTTCTTTCGCAACGTTGAAACACCGGTTTCCCTACGATCATCAAAGTTAAGCAACATCGATCCTGGTCAGTACCTAGAAGGGTGATTGTTCTGATATACCAGTTGTTCTAAGCTTGGATGTGCCGATCGTGTAATGAATGGTGGCTCGGAATTTTTAGTCGGTGAGCCGTGTTTCAATTTCAGTTGATTTTGTTAGATTCACTTATGCGCAAATACCACTGGGAAAGGCATGAACCACCCCCTACCTAAACTATGGGTTATTTATTAGGATTTGTATCATTAATCCATTATTATTTAAAAAGAAAATTCTTACAATCTAAAAATATTATCTGGTTGTAAAGGGTTCATTAAGTGTAGAAAACTAACCAATGACTCTTTCACAACAAAAAAAATTTAAAAATATATTAAATATGGCTTCACTCATTTTAAATTATCAAAGGGGTAAAGGAGTAATAAAAGTAAATGTAGTAAACTAACCAATGACTCTTTCACAACAACAACAAAAAAAATTAAAAATATATTAAATATAGCTGTAAAGAGAGATGTTGACGCACATGAATGCACACACGCAAATATAACGTTTATTGATTGAAGATGGAAAACACGATCTTCCGTGAAAGTTTACAAACTGTGTCAGCGTTATTAATAGTAAAGAATCTAGAACAATGATATATGAAACCGGAGACGGCTGATGGATAAAGAATAAATTTCAAATTGGGTTGGCGAGGACTTGTTTATAAACAAATGCAAAGGGAAGGAGGCGATGTTTAATTTGGGTCATTAAAAAATAGACGAAAATAATATTTTGATAAAAACATATTGATGTAAATTGGACCGGGGAGGTAAGATCAGTGTATGTTTACCGCTAGCGCTGATCTAAACATAAGTTGTATCCGCTGAATTTGGTCATCGAAAAGACAATTGAAATGAACATTGAACTAATTAATTTTATCCACTAAGAGATTTGAAATAGATCTGAATTTAAACTTTGCTTATGGCGACACTCGTGTTAAGCACGTGAACAATCTGGTTTATAACCTTCAGTTTGCCATATAACCGCGTGTTTTGCTGAGTTGGGGAGACTTGGGCGTTAAACGAGAGTGACGTTGAGAGAGAGAGAGAGACTGTCGTTGCAGTGAGTCGGTCCAGTGGCGAGTCAGAGATAAGGACTTCAAGAAATATCATCGTCGTTGTAGCAGTCGCATTGAAAAGTCGCTGAAACTTAACGTTTGTCACTTACGACAACCAACTGAAAAGCTACACTTCCACTTAGGGCTGGAATTACGAGTCACATATCCTCCCAAGTTGATTTGGAATGAGTTAATCACACACACACACCTCTCTCTGTTGGTATAATTGGTAGAGGAGTTGTCCTAAGTTCTTATGTTAATTGCTTTTCTATCCTTTCTGTAAACTCTTTCTACTGTTGTTTTGTTATATAAAAGACATCAATATTTTACCCATTGTTGTTCGGCTTCTGCAGATATTATTTCCTTGTTTGCCACATTCTAATTTTCCTGCTGCCCACCCTCACAGCCGTGCCTACATCCCCAATCGACCGTGACCGTATGGACAACACCCCGCTTACTGGATCTAAAAACTAACACAATGTGGGCAGCCGGCGAAACTTGGCCAGCGACCGGTCGAACAATTTACGGGTACTCAGGGAGCGTGCGGCCAGCTACCCCTGAGTTCGGTTCAGACTGAGTGGGCGCCTCAACCCAAAGAGGAAGATGCCGGAGGTTGAGGGTCTGAGTGGTAGATTTGGTTGCCATTGACCAGGATTGACCTTGCGTTACCACGGAAAATAAGGCCAGGAACAGCTTTGAAGAAAAGCAAGCCTTAAGTTATACTCGGGAAGAAAGGAAGCAAACACCAGCAAAACAGACTTGTTGCATCTAGTCGGGACCGACTAAGACCAGAAAGAACTCTAGTCTGGACATAAAACGGAAACAAAACACGGAGCAGCGAACCTCAGGTAAGTCACTTTTTGGTTTCCTCTACTCATTTCACTTAGATCTGCCAGTAATATTGTTGATTTTTGTCAACTCTGTACGCAGTTGAAGCGCCACCGCCGTGTTAAGTAGTTTCCTTGTTTGTCGTTAATCTCTCTTCTCGTGGGAAAGTGGTAGGATGAGTGAAGCAGGATCAGACGCCACAACCGACCTTGGGGACGAGGGGGTCCCCGAAATAACGATAGGTTTCTGTTGAGTTGTTGGGAGTGTTCCCCTCGTGTGTGTATTCGAATAAAGACAAACTCAGTTGTAGGGATAAATACTGGTATATTTGTAAGAGGTAATTAACAACAGATTGATTAGTAATAAGGAACGCCGGTAAGTAACAATAGCAAAAGTCTACAGTCCAACGGTATGTAATGGTAACCTGATCTCGACTGCTGTCGCTGAACCTGACCCTTCACAACACAACTCTCTCTCTAGCACTGACTTATATCGTAGAGGGATAAGTCCATTATCAGTCAGAAGGTGGGTGCGCCCCAACAGTTTCAGACGGCTGATAGGTAGTATGAAGCTACCCACTTAAAAATGCATGAATGGATTCTCTCCATCCAAAAGTTTATAGAGACATGGTACAAAGAAAAACCCAGCCGCGACATGAACAGAGCTTAAATCCGCTCTGGTACGGCAGTACGCAAGTGAGCGTACAGCCATTGAGTCAAGAAACTATTCGGGCTGCAGCAATAAGAAGGAGAGATAAATGAAAAAATTGGGAGAAAGGATCGCAGGGGCTAGCAGCATTAGCCTTTCCGAAGTTGGCGACTTGGAACTGCGGCCCTATTCAGGCCTTGTTAGCCGATGTATATGTAGATGCACTAAGCGACAGGGACTTGAGGGCGATGTCCTGAAGGAGGACTGGTCACCCCTGGCCGCAGCCATAGAAACGGCTCGGGTCAGCGAGCGACTCTGAGATAGGATAAGAAGCGGTATAGAAAGGAGCCACCGGGAGGCCAAGGTAATAATAAAAAAGAAGGATCGGGAGCGGATCTGGATAAGGGAACCGAAGGAGGATGTAGAAGAGGACTGGGGGGAGGAGACTGACCCCAATAGCAAGGCCTGGGATTTGCGTTATGGGTTTTTCAATCCCACACCGGGCCGATATGGGCTGGTGTGTTGGGCTTGCAAATACAGTGGGCATCGGACCCGCGACTGTCCGACAAACAATGGAGGCGACCCGAGATCTCTGGGGCCGAACTGTACGACTTGTGGCGAGTTCGGGCATAAGGCTCAATGGTGTACGATGGAATGGGACCGCAAACTAGGGATAAAGCGAGTTAATACGCTGGTGCCTCCTCCCAAAAAGGAAAGGGGTCCGGGAAACGCCAATGGGTCACCTGTAAAAAGTAAGAGGCAGGATGGCCCCAGTGCGAATAAAGCCTCTGAGATGCTGGATGTGTGGCATGGTCGGACACTTTTCGGCAAATTGTAATGAGCGAAGGTGTTGGCGCTGTGGAGGAGCGGGTCAGCTGAGACGAACCTGTCCTCGCAGGAGAAAGATGGACCACACCGAACGAAACAACCCTAACTCGAATAGAGGGGAGAAATGGGTTGCTAGTCCGAGAAAAGAGAGTCATCCGAGCTCTACCCCCCCCCCGCCAGGAGGGCCCCTAGACAGAAATGGGAGCCACTAGAAAAAGTTGAACTCCTGTCACCGACTCCCATGTCTCGGTTGACGAGAAGACAAGGAAAAGTGGAGAACATACGGGAAGGAGAAAGGCACAGGTATAACGTTTGCTGAAGGAAGGGTCAAACTTCACCTGTAATGTGTTGCTGGGAGACAAGAAGGTGAAGGCTCTTGTCGATATGGGAGCTTCAATGACGCTGGTTAGCTCCAGGGTTTTAGACAGTTGGGACTGAAGACAAAGCTTAGTCCTGTCGATCTACTAATAAGTCAGGTTGATAGTAGCAGGATGAGAATAGAGGGGATGACGTGGCTACCTTTCCAGTTGGCAAGAATCAGAGGTGTTTTTAAGGTTTATGTGGCACCAGATTTGTGTGGTGAACTAATTTTTGGGGGCGATTGGCTTAAGCAGAATAAGGCACAGATCAGTTTTTAACCCCGCCACCCTAACAGTAGATGGAGTAGAAATACCGTTGGAGAGGATAATTATGAACAATTGTCAGTGGTGGCCCAAACAGATATAAAGCTCCCCCAGGACCACTGTATCTGGGAAAGGCCAAATTGTAACAGAGGGAGTTCTGAACAACGACCTGTATCAAATAGTCCCTACTGGTAGCGAAGGAGAGATGACCGTATGCGATTCGCTAGTGAAGGGGTCAAGGACCGTTCTTTAACCAATACTGCGAATAAAACTATTAAAATAAAACAGGAGAGGAGCTGACACATAAATATGGCTTCACTCACTTTAAATTATCAAAGGGGTAAAGGAGTAATAAAAGTAAATGTAGTAAACTAACCAATGACTCTTTCGCAAACAAATTTTTAAAAATATATTAAATATGGCTTCACTCACTTTAAATTATCAAAGGGGTAAAGGAGTAATAAATGTAAATTTAGTCCTTTTTTCTTTTATTTTCATTCATTCCTGATTTTCTTCCACTTGCTTTTCTTTTCATTTCCTCTAGCTTTCTGTAATAGAAGTGACAGTGACATACCATGAGCAAAGCGAATTCGCTGCCTCGCGTGTCGAACCATTCTCTGACAGTCGGTCGCGCGTGCGTACGCCTACTGCCATTGTTATGCAGCAGACTTATTTGCATAAGAGAACCACGCTACCCATTAAAAACCCGGCGAGTGGACGTGGGAGGCACTGCTTTTTAGGCTTCGTCGAGACTAGACGTATTGCTGTCAGAAAGCGACAGCAATTTCTGGACATCTGACACTTTCTTACCTTTTTTTCTTCCTTCACGCCTACTTTTCCTTTCCTTTGCTCATCCTAATTTTGTTTCCATGTGCAAATGAACAGAGAGGCAGTTGACTGTATTTACCTACCCAACTATACTGATCTGACACAAGATCGGCTTAATTTACGCACTGATATGGACCAAGGCCAAAAAACTGTCTAATCTCCACGACCCTTTTACACCAACATCGGTATCCACCAAACTTCCGTCTTTAGTGCAATGAGGGAGGTGATGTCAAGATGTTAGAATCTCCGGCAATGTGTTTCCCTCATTAAAACAAACAAAACAAAAAAACATAGTGAAACAAACACGATAGAGAAGAAAAGAACAGGCAGACTTTGATCCCAACTGGAATACCCGGTAAAAAGAGCATTGACCCTTCACTACCCTACGCACTCCACGGAGGACTGATGTGACACACGATCAGTTTAACGTGGAGCGCCCATATGTATACATATGGGCCAAGGACAAAAAATTATCCAGTTTTACTGTTACGATGGCATCAGTCTCCACCAACCTTCCGTCTTTGGTGCTATGTAGAAAGTGCAAGACAGCGGGGGTGATATTATTTTGGTCTGCAACACTTCAGAAAGCGTTATTCAAAGTAGAAATGCTGGCCTATATTTTAAATAATCGTGTCATTGTTCTATAACTCTCGCTTTCTCTCTCTCTCTCTCTATCTCTCTGTATATATATATATATATATATATATATATATATATATATCTCTCTTTCTCTCTCTGTCTCTTTCTTTCTTTCTCTCTTCCCCCTCTCTCACTTTCCTTCTCTTTCTCTCTCTCTCTCGCTCTCTCTCTCTCTATATATATATATATCTTTGTCTTTCTCACTCTCACTTTTCCTCTTTCTCTCTCTCTCTCTATATATATATATCTTTTTCTCTCTCTCTCTCTCTGTGTCCTCTTTCTCTTTCTCTCTCTCTCTCTCTCTCCTATATATATATATATATATATATATCTTTCTCTCTCTTTCTCCTCTTTCTCTCTTTTTCTCTCTGTCTCTCCTTTCTTTCTCACTTCCCCCTTCTCTCTTTTCCCTCTCTTTCCTCCCTCTCTCTCTCTCTCTATATATATATATATATATATTTCTCTCTCTTTCTCCTCTTTTTCTCTCTGTCTCCTCTTTCTTTCAACTCTTTTCTCTCTCTTTCCCTCTCTTTTCCTCTCTCTTTCTCTCTCTCAAGTCTCATACACTCCACCCGTGGAGTATGGGGGGGGTCACAAGGCCATCACGCTAAGCATTGCTGTTGTGGTTTTAGAAAGTAGGTTTTTTACATGATTGAGTTTTTTTTTTCTCTTTAATCATTAATAAAGTCATACCAAGAAAGGCAATAAAGCCACTAAGGTGCAAGGGAGTTACTGACTGTGAATGAATATAAGAAAGAAAAAAATATTATTAAGGAGAGAGAGAACAATAAGAGAACAGGAATTAAGAAGACAGACGATAACGACTGACATCGCATTTAGATTTTTAAAGATCAAGACGACTGGAAAGCAAGAAGCCAAAAGAGAGCTCCACAAGCGAGAGAACGAACTGTTGGCATAAAACTTATGGTTACCTCTAACCATTTCGAGTGTAAAATGATGAGACCTAACTGCCAATTTAGTACTGCACTTAAATTCGTAAAGTAGAGGAAAACTCAATTCCTATGAAAATATTTATAGAAAAGCGACATTAAGGCAGTGGCGAATTGACTAAAGCCGAGATGCCAAGTCAGAACTGATAAAATTGCAGATGCTTCTTTGTATGTTATCAAGGATCCCTAAATGCACAGCGGAAGCACCAAGCCAGATGTGGCAGCAATATTCAATAAATGGAGGAATGGTCGACTTATAACCAGGTTAAGATAGATTCTGGAGAGAAAAATTGCCTAGCACGACACAATGAACCAACTTTCCTTGATGAAGAGATGGATTCATACCCTAGGGAAGTGAATGCAATGGATTCGAGTAGAATTCGAACTCTGCTCGCCGATTTCATTAAGTACAAAAATGTAAATATCTGAGAAGTGTTTTAACAGAGGACGGGAAAAGGCACACTGAAATCCAAAGGGGCCTTCATCATCATCATCATCCTTCGACCTCCCTGTGGTTGGTCGGAACTCCATTAACAGTACCTTTCCACATTGCTCCGTCCTGTTTCGCCGTCCTCAGATCTCCAGTGTCCAACCATGAGTCCCGAGCTATGGTGCCTGGGAAAGTTAATTTTCGTGAAAAGACACCCTCAGAAGGATACCAAAGAAGTAAGGATAAGATGACCTCCCCGTCCGCTCCGTGGCAGTGGCCGGTAAACTTTAATCGTTTTTGTTTGAGCTTAAGAGAGCTTGGTCTCAGTTCTCCGTAGATTGTGTTAAGTGTTGCATAAGATCTCCAACTGATGTTCTGGATTTTTTTCTAACTAGATTTGTATGTTCTATTCAGCCATCTTTCAAGACGAACAGATAATGTCCAAGTTTCTGATCCATACAATAGGACTGGTTCAATCAATGTTCGAAAGGTTTGGACTTTTAAAGAGGATAGAAAGTTCGAGCGCCAAATCTTTTGAAGTCCACAACTCTTTTGATGGATGTATTATTGAGTGACTTCAACTCGACTCGTTCAGGGACGTTGTGATATATTCTGTCTTACACATTGTAATAGAAACCTACCTGGTTCACTGCTTGCTCGAGTGATTGCAGCAAGGATTCTGCATCTTTGATACACCGAGAAATCAATGCAAGATCATCGGCAAATTCAAGGTCAGTCAGGTATTGTAAAGGGTACCATCTACTTTCGCGAGGTTTCAAAGGTGACAGAAGGCGCATTAGGATAGCGAAAGATGCCTTCCAAAATAAAGCAAATTATTAAGAGACAGAAATTTTCGTTAAAAACAAAGGAGCACTGAACTGTTTTCTAATATTGTTATGGGTCCTTACCTATAACAACAGAATGAACTCTTCCTAACACTATGTATACTACGCCTCTCAAGAGAGGGTCGAATCAAGCCGAGCTTCTCGGCTTGACGGTCGAACTCTCTGCCTCTGAGCAGACAGGAACTCGGACGAGGCTCCGCCGAAGGGCAGAGTCTCGTTCGGAAGGTTGACTCAACCCGATCCCGTTTATACGGGTTCTACCGGCATTTTTTTGGCCGAGCCTACGGGCTCGGGAAACCCACGTTAAACTCGGCCATGTGCCACATGCAACCCTCATGGGAGGGTGGCTAGATACCGAATCAAGTCGAGCTTCTCGGCTTGACTGTCGAACTCTCTGCCTCTGAGCGAAGAGGAACCCCGACGAGACTCCGCCGAAGAGCAGAGTCTCCTTCGGGGAGGTTGACCAACCCGATCCCGTTTATACGGGTTCTACGGGCATTTGGGGGCCGAGCCTACGGGCTCGGGACACCCACGTTAAACTCGGCCTTGTGCCACATGCAAACCAGGGGGGTTGGGGGCTAGATACCGAATCGAGTCGAGCCGATAGTAGTTCACTCCAAACTAGACTGACAATCATACTAACACTTTCCACATCTTGTATTATTATTTCGTGTAATATACCTTCGTTATTTCTACTCTGGTGTTCGTGTTGTTCTTCCTTGGTTCTAACCTGGACCATAACAAATATCAGTCCTCCTATATGTCGGTGAATGCTGGACAATCTCCTCACATATAAAGAATAGACTTGAAGCAACAGGCATGTTCTACGGAAGTTTGCTGAGAATATGGACCGAGCATCTGTATAGATAGATATTAGCAAACTGAGATAGATAGATAGATAGATAGATAGATATAGATAGATAGGATAGATAATGAACAGACTGAGATAGATAGATAGATAGATATAGATAGATAGATAGATAGATAGATAGATAAAACCCAGATAAATAGAGAGATTTTCTAGTTTTCTTTATCCCCTTATTTTTCACTCAAAAGCCAACAAATATTAAATAAAGGCTTCTTCACCTAACCTTAAATGAATTAAAGGAGTAATGAAATAAAAAAAGACAAAGCTTTCTGTTTATTTTTATTTTGCTTCCATCCTTTTTCCTGCTTTCATTTCTCACTTACCCGATTTCTTTCTGCAACGTTGAAACACCGGTTTCTACGATCATCAAAGTTAAGCAACATCGATCCTGGTCACAATTTAGAATTGATTGTTCTGATATACCAGTTGTTCTAAGCTTGGATGTGCTGATCGTGTAATGAATGGTGGCTCGAATTTTTAGTCGGTGAGCCGTGTGTTTCAATTTCAGTTGATTTTGTTAGATTCACTTATGCGCAAATACCACTGGGAAAGGCATGAACCACCCTACCCTAAACTATGGGTTATTTATTAGGATTTGTATCATTAATCCATTATTATTTAAAAAGAAAATTCTTACAATCTAAAATATTATCTGGTTGTAAAGGGTTCATTAAGTGTAGAAACCAACCAATGACTTTTCACAACAACAAAAAAATTTAAAAATATATTAAATATGTATTTCACTCATTTTAAATTATCAAAGGGTAAAGGGTAATAAAAGTAAATGTAGTAAACTAACCAATGACTCTTTCACAACAAACAAAAAAAAAATTAAAAATATATTAAATATAGCTGTAAGAGAGAGATGTTGACGCACATGAATGCACACACGCAAATATAACGTTTATTGATTGAAGATGGAAAACACGATCTTCCGTGAAAGTTTACAAACTGTGTCAAATATTAATAGTAAAGAATCTAGAACAATGATATATGAAACCGGAGACGGCTGATGGATAAAGAATAAATTTCAAATTGGGTTGGCGAGGACTTGTTTATAAACAAATGCAAAAAGGGAAGGAGGCGATGTTTAATTTAATCATTAAAAAAATAGGAAAATAATATTTTTGATAAAACATATTGATGTAAATTGACCGGGGAGGTAAGAAGTGTATGTTTATAGCGCTGATCTAAACATAAGTTGTATCCGCTGAATTTGGTCATCGAAAAGACAATTGAAATGAACATTGAACTAATTAATTTTATCCACTAAGAGATTTGAAATAGATCTGAATTTAAACTTTGCTTATGGCGACACTCGTGTTAAGCACGTGAACAATCTGGTTTATAACCTTCAGTTTGCCATATAACCGCGTGTTTTGCTGAGTTGGGGAGACTTGGGCGTTAAACGAGAGTGACGTTGAGAGAGAGAGAGAGACTGTCGTTGCAGTGAGTCGGTCCAGTGGCGAGTCAGAGATAAGGACTTCAAGAAATATCATCGTCGTTGTAGCAGTCGCATTGAAAAGTCGCTGAAACTTAACGTTTGTCACTTACGACAACCAACTGAAAGCTACACTTCCACTTTAGGGCTGGAATTACGAGTCACATATCCTCCCAAGTTGATTTGGAATGAGTTAATCACACACACACCTCTCTCTGTTGGTATAATTGGTAGAGGAGTTGTCCTAAAGTTCTTATGTTAATTGCTTTTTCTATCCTTTCTGTAAACTCTTTCTACTGTTGTTTTGTTATATAAAAGACATCAATATTTTACCCATTGTTGTTCGGCTTTGCAGATATTATTTCTTGTTTGCCACATTCTAATTTTCCTGCTGCCCACCCCTCACAGCCGTGTTTACATCCCCAATCGACCGTGACCGTATGGACAACACCCCGCTTACTGGATCTAAAAACTAACACAATGTGGGCAGCCGGCGAAACTTGGCCAGCGACCGGTCGAACAATTACGGTACTCAGGGAGCGTGCGACAGCTACCCTGAGTTCGGTTCAGACTGAGTGGGCGCCTCAACCCAAAGAGGAAGATGCCGGAGGTTGAGGGTCTGAGTGGTAGATTTGGTTGCCATTGACCAGGATTGACCTTGCGTTACCACGGAAAATAAGGCCAGAACAGCTTTGAAGAAAAGCAAGCCTTAAGTTATACTCAGGGAAGAAAGGAAGCAAACACCAGCAAAAACAGACTTGTTGCATCTAGTCGGGACCGACTAAGACTGGGAAAGAACTCTAGTCTGGACATAAAACGAAAACAAAACACGGAGCAGCGAACCTCAGGTAAGTCACTTTTTGGTTTCTCACTCATTTCACTTTCTAGATCTGCCAGTAATATTGTTGATTTTTGTCAACTCTGTACGCAGTTGAAGTGCCACCGCCGTGTTAAGTAGTTTCCTTGTTTGTCGTTAATCTCTTCTCGTGGAAAGTGGTAGGATGAGTGAAGCAGGATCAGACGCCATTAACCGACCTTTGGGGGGACGAGGGGTCCCCGAAATAACGATAGGTTTCTGTTGAGTTGTTGGGAGTGTTCCCCTCGTGTGTATTCGAATAAAGACAAACTCAGTTGTAGGGATAAATACTGGTATATTTGTAAGAGGTAATTAACAACAGATTGATTAGTAATAATGAACGCCGGTAAGTAACAATAGCAAAAAGTCTACAGTCCAACGGTATGTAATGGTAACCTGATCTCGACTGCTGTCGCTGAACCTGACCCTTCACACAACACAACTACTCTTCTCTAGCACTGACTTATATCGTAGAGGGATAAGTCCATTATCAGTCAGAAGGTGGGTGCGCCCCAACAGTTTCAGACGGCTGATAGGTAGTATGAAGCTACCCACTTAAAATGCATGAATGGATTCTCTCCATCCAAAAGTTTATAGAGACATGGTACAAAGAAAACCCAGCTGCGACATGAACAGAGCTTAAACTCTGGTACGGCAGCATGCAAGTGAGCGTACAGCCATTGAGTCAAGAAACTATTCGGGCTGCAGCAATAAGAAGGAGAGATAAATGAAAATTGGGAGAAAGGATCGCAGGGCTAGCAGCATTAGCCTTCCGAAGTTGGCGATTTGGAACTGCGGCCCTATTCAGGCCTTGTTAGCCGATGTATATGTAGATGCACTAAGCGACAGGGACTTGAGGGCGATGTCCTGAAGGAGGACTGGTCACCCTGGCTGCAGCCATAGAAACGGCTCGGGTCAAGGAGCGACTCTGAGATAGGATAAGAAGTGGTATAGAAAGGAGCCACCGGGAGGCCAAGGTAATAATAAAAAGAAGGATCGGGGAGCGGATCTGGATAAGGGAACCGAAGGAGGATGTAGAAGAGGACTGGGGAGGAGACTGACCCAATAGCAAGGCCTAGGATTTGCGTTATGGGTTTTTCAATCCCACACCGGGCCGATATGGGCTGGTGTGTTGGGCTTGCAAATACAGTGGGCATCGGACCCTGACTGTCCGACAAACAATGGAGGCGACCTGAGATCTCTGGGCCGAACTGTACGACTTGTGGCGAGTTCGGGCGCAAGGCCTCAATGGTGTACGATGGAATGGGACCGCAAACTAGGGATAAAGCGAGTTAATACGCTGGTGCCCTCCTCCCAAAAGGAAAGGGGTCCGGGAAACGCCAATGGGTCACCTGTAAAAAGTAAGAGGCAGGATGGCCCCAGTGCGAATAAAGCCTCTGAGATGCTGGATGTGGCATGGTCGGACACTTTTCGGCAAATTGTAATGAGCGAAGGTGTTGGCGCTGTGGAGGAGCGGGTCAGCTGGAGACGAACCTGTCCTCGCAGGAGAAAGATGGACCACACCGAACGAAACAACCCTAACTCGAATAGAGGGAGAAATGGGTTGCTAGTCCGAGAAAAGAGAGTCATCCGAGCTCTCCCCCGCCAGGAGGGCCCCTAGACAGAAATGGAGCCACTAGAAAAAGTTGAACTCCTGTCACCGACTCCCATGTCTCGGTTGACGAGAAGACAAGGAAAAGTGGAGAACATACGGAAGGAGAAAGGCACAGGTATAACGTTTGCTGAAGGAAGGGTCAAACTTCACCTGTAATGTGTTGCTGGGAGACAAGAAGGTGAAGGCTCTTGTCGATACGGGAGCTTCAATGACGCTGGTTAGCTCCAGGGTTTTAGACAGTTGGGACTGAAGACAAAGCTTAGTCCTGTCGATCTACTAATAAGTCAGGTTGATAGTAGCAGGATGAGAATGGGGGATGACGTGGCTACCTTTCCAGTTGGCAAGAATCAGAGGTAAGCTTAAGGTTTATGTGGCACCAGATTTGTGTGGTGAACTAATTTTGGGGGCGATTGGGATTAAGCAGAATAAGGCACAGATCAGTTTTAACCCCGCCACCCTAACAGTAGATGGAGTAGAAATACCGTTGGGAGAGGATAATTATGAACAATTGTCAGTGGTGGCCCAAACAGATATAAAGCCCCCCCAGGACCACTGTATCTGGGAAAGGCCAAATTGTAACAGAGGGAGTTCTGAACAACGACCTGTATCAAATAGTCCCTACTGGTAGCGAAGGAGAGATGACCGTATGCGATTCGCTAGTGAAGGGTCAAGGACCGTTCCTTAACCAATACTGCGAATAAAACTATTAAAATAAAACAGGAGAGGAGCTGACACATAAATATGGCTTCACTCACTTTAAATTATCAAAGGGTAAAGGAGTAATAAAAGTAAATGTAGTAAACTAACCAATGACTCTTTTTCGCAACAAATTTTTTAAAAATATATTAAATATGGCTTCACCTCACTTTAAATTATCAAAGGGTAAAGGAGTAATAAATGTAAATTTAGTCCTTTTTTCTTTTATTTTCATTCATTCCTGATTTTCTTCCACTTGCTTTTCTTTTCATTTTCCTCTAGCTTTCTGTAATAGAAGTGACAGTGACATACCATGAGCAAAGGAATTCGCTGCCTCGCGTGTCGAACCATTCTCTGACAGTCGGTCGCGTGCGTACGCCTACTGCCATTGTTATGCAGCAGACTTATTTGCATAAGAGAACCACGCCACCCATTAAAAACCCGGCGAGTGGACGGGAGGGCACTGCTTTTTTTAGGCTTCGTCGAGACTAGACGTATTGCTGTCAGAAAGCGACAGCAATTTCTGGACATCTGACACTTTCTTACCCTTTTTTCTTCCTTCACGCCTACTTTTTCCTTTCTTTTGCTCATCCTAATTTTGTTTCCATGTGCAAATGAACAGAGAGGCAGTTGACTGTATTTACCTACCCAACTATACTGATCTGACACAAGATCGGCTTAATTTACGCACTGATATGGACCAAGGCCAAAAACTGTCTAATCTCCACGACCCCTTTTACACCAACATCGGTATCCACCAAACTTCCGTCTTTAGTGCAATGAGGGAGGTGATGTCAAGATGTTAGAATCTCCGGCAATGTGTTTCCCTCATTAAAACAAACAAAACAAAAAACATAGTGAAACAAACACGATAGAGAAGAAAAGAACAGGCAGATTTGATCCCAACTGGAATACCCGGTAAAAGAGCATTGACCCTTCACTTACCCTACGCACTCCACGGAGGACTGATGTGACACACGATCAGTTTAACGTGGAGCGCCCATATGTATACATATGGGCCAAGGACAAAAATTATCCAGTTTTACTGTTACGATGGCATCAGTCTCCACCAACCTTCCGTCTTTTGGTGCTATGTAGAAAGTGCAAGACAAAGGGGGTGATATTATTTTTGGTCTGCAACACTTCAGAAAGCGTTATTCAAAGTAGAAATGCTGGCCTATATTTTTAAATAATCGTGTCATTGTTCTATAACTCTCGCTTTCTCTCTCTCTCTCTATCTATCTCTGTATATATATATATATATATATATATATATATATATATTTCTCTCTCTCTCTCTCTCTGTCTCTTTCTTTTTTCTCTCTCTCTTCCCCTCTCTCACTTTTCTCCTCTTTCTCTCTCTCTCTCTCTCTCTATATATATATATCTTTGTCTTTCTCCTTCTCACTTTTTCTCTCTCTCTCTCTATATATATATATCTTTTTCTCTCTCTCTCTCTCTCTGTCACTCTTTCTCTTTCTCTCTCTCTCTCTCTCTCTCCCTATATATATATATATATATATATATATCTTTCTCTCTCTTTCGCACTCTTTCTCTCTTTTTCTCTCTCTGTCTCTCGCTTTCTTTCTCACTTCCCCTTCTCTCGCTTTCCCTCTCTTTCCTCCCTCTCTCTCTCTCTCTATATATATATATATATATATATATATTTCTCTCTCTTTCTCACTCTTTCTCTCTCTGTCTCCCTCTTTCTTTCAACTCTTTTCTCTCTCTTTCCCTCTCTTTCCTCTCTCTTTCTCTCTCTCTCAAGTCTCATACACTCCACCCGTGGAGTATGGGGGGGGGGTCACAAGGCCATCACGCTAAGCATTGCTGTTGTGGTTTCCTTAGAAAGTAGGTTTTTACATGATTGAGTTTTTTTTTTCTCTTTAATCATTAATAAAGTCATACCAAGAAAGGCAATAAAGCCACTAAGGTGCAAGGGAGTTACTGACTGTGAATGAATATAAGAAAGAAAAAAATATTATTAAGGAGAGAGAGAACAATAAGAGAACAGGAATTAAGAAGACAGACGATAACGACTGACATCGCATTTAGATTTTTAAAGATCAAGACGACTGGAAAGCAAGAAGCCAAAAGAGAGCTCCACAAGCGAGAGAACGAACTGTTGGCATAAAACTTATGGTTACTCTAACCATTTCGAGTGTAAATGATGAGACCTAACTGCCAATTTAGTACTGCACTTAAATTCGTAAAGTAGAGGAAAACTCAATTCCTATGAAAATATTTATAGAAAAGCGACATTAAGGCAGTGGCGAATTGACTAAAGCCGAGATGCCAAGTCAGAACCGATAAAATTGCAGATGCTTCTTTGTATGTTATCAAGGATCCCTAAATGCACAGCGGAAGCACCAAGCCAGATGTGGCAGCAATATTCAATAAATGGAGGAATGGTCGACTTATAACCAGGTTAAGATAGATTCTGGAGAGAAAAATTGCCTAGCACGACACAATGAACCAACTTTCCTTGATGAAGAGATGGATTCATACCCTAGGGAAGTGAATGCAATGGATTCGAGTAGAATTCGAACTCTGCTCGCCGATTTCATTAAGTACAAAATGTAAATATCTGAGAAGTGTTTTAACAGAGGACGGAAAAGGCACACTGAAATCCAAAGGGGCCTTCATCATCATCATCATCCTTCGACCTCCCTGTGGTTGGTCGGAACTCCATTAACAGTACCTTTCCACATTGCTCCGTCCTGTTTCGCCGTCCTCAGATCTCCAGTGTCCAACCATGAGTCCTGGAGCTATGGTGCCTGGGAAAGTTAATTTTCGTGAAAAGACACCCTCAGAAGGATACCAAAGAAGTAAGGATAAGATGACCTCCCCTGTCCGCTCCGTGGCAGTGGCCGGTAAACTTTAATCGTTTTGTTTGAGCTTAAGAGAGCTTGGTCTCAGTTCTCCGTAGATTGTGTTATGTTGCATAAGATCTCCAACTGATGTTCTGGATTTTTTCTAACTAGATTTGTATGTTCTATTCAGCCATCTTTCAAGACGAACAGATAATGTCCAAGTTTCTGATCCATACAATAGGACTGGTTCAATCAATGTTCGAAAGGTTTGGACTTTAAAGAGGATAGAAAGTTCGAGCGCCAAATCTTTTGAAGTCCACAACTCTTTTGATGGATGTATTATTGAGTGACTTCAACTCGACTCTGTTCAGGGGACGTTGTGATATATTCTGTCTTACACACATTGTAATAGAAACCTACCTGGTTCACTGCTTGCTCGAGTGATTGCAGCAAGGATTCTGCATCTTTGATACACCGAGAAATCAATGCAAGATCATCGGCAAATTCAAGGTCAGTCAGGTATTGTAAAGGGTACCATCTACTTTCGCGAGGTTTCAAAGGTGACAGAAGGCGCATTAGGATAGCGAAAGATGCCTTTCCAAAATAAAGCAAATTATTAAGAGACAGAAATTTTCGTTAAAACAAAGGAGCACTGAACTGTTTTCTAATATTGTTATGGGTCCTTACCTATAACAACAGAATGAACTCTTCCTAACACTATGTATACTACGCCTCTCAAGAGAGAGGGTCGAATCGCCGAGCTTCTCGGCTTGACGGTCGAACTCTCTGCCTCTGAGCAGACAGGGAACTCGGACGAGGCTCCGCCGAAGGCAGAGTCTCGTTCAGGAAGGTTGACCAACCCGATCCCGTTTATACGGGTTCTACCGGCATTTTTGGCCGAGCCTACGGGCTCGGGAAACCCACGTTAAACTCGGCCATGTGCCACATGCAACCCTCATGGGAGGGTGGCTAGATACCGAATCAAGTCGAGCTTCTCGGCTTGACTGTCGAACTCTCTGCCTCTGAGCGAAGAGGAACCCCGACGAGACTCCGCCGAAGAGCAGAGTCTCCTTCGGGAGGTTGACCAACCTGATCCTGTTTATACGGGTTCTACGGGCATTTGGGGCCGAGCCTACGGGCTCGGGACACCCACGTTAAACTCGGCCTTGTGCCACATGCAAACCAGGGGGTTGGGGGCTAGATACCGAATCGAGTCGAGCCGATAGTAGTTCACTCCAAACTAGACTGACAATCATACTAACACTTTCCACATCTTGTATTATTATTTCGTGTAATATACCTTCGTTATTTCTACTCTGGTGTTCGTGTTGTTCTTCCTTGGTTCTAACCTGGACCATAACAAATATCAGTCCTCCATATGTCGGTGAATGCTGGACAATCTCCTCACATATAAAGAATAGACTTGAAGCAACAGGCATGTTCTACGGAAGTTTGCTGAGAATACCATGGACCGAGCATCTGTGCAACGATGACGTTTTAGACAAAACGGAAACAAAAAAGACATATACTTAACACCAGGAAGAGACAATTATAGGGAGCGTAATGAGGAAAGATGGATTGGAAAATTTGATACGCACAGGACAGAGGGAAACAAAGCATAGCCCACCTAGAAATCATGAGTAAATGGAATGTGGAACGGAAAAACAATTTATAAAGAGCTACAAAAGACAGGAAATCCCGGAGAGAGATGATCGCAAACATTCGAATGATAGAAACAGCGCACGTATTCTTTTCAAAAAAAAAAGAAAAACAATTCATGACGTAAAAGAACTTGACTTTTGTACAAGTGCAATAGACGATAGAACTGAGATTGCCCTTGCACAAAATAATCTTTAATATTCTTTTCATAGAGTAATAGACGTCATTGTCTGAATTAAGATTATTCAATATTATTCATTTGAAAAATAATTCATTTTTGACTAGTATTTCTTTCATCTTATTTCTATTGCTTTACACTTTAATAGTAATAGACGTAATAGTCTTAAGTTGTCCGTTGTCTGAATTTCTTTAGATGAATCATTGGCAATTATTATTAATTTTTGACTAGTATTTCTTTCATCTTATTTCATTTTTATTGCTTTACTTATTTTAATAGTAATAGTCTTAAGTTGTCTGAATTACTTAGATGAATCATTGGCAATTATTATTCATTTTTGACTAGTATTTCTTTAAGTTGCTGTTGTACACTTACTTAGATGAAATAGACGTAATATTTTAAGTTTTGATAAATCATTGGCAATTATTATTCATTTTTGACTAGTATTTCTTTCATCTTATTTCTATTGTCTTTACTTTACTTAATAGTAATAGACGTAATAGTCTTAAGTTGTCTGAATTTCTTAGATATTTCATTGGCAATTATTATTCATTTTGAACTAGTATTATTCATTTTTGACCAGCATTTCTTTCATCTATTTCTATTTACACTTAATAGTAATAGACGTCATTGTCTGAATTTAAGTTATTCTGAATTTCTTTGATAAATCATTGGCAATTATTATTCATTTTTGATGTAGTATTTCTTTCATCTTATTTCTATTGCTTTACACTTAATAGTAATAGACGTAATAGTCTTAAGTT